TTGCATGATTTGGCGCTTGCCTACCTCTTCGGTTCCATCTCGTAACACTCATTCCCTCCCTCACTCTGTCTCCAAACTTACCTTCAGACATTTCCTAGGATTTCCAAGCATTTTTCTGCCTCAAGACCTTCCCCCCTTGCTGTTTCCTTTGCTTGGATGTTCTCTGCTGGTTTTTACATCGCCAGTTCCTTATTTCAGATCTCACCTTAAGTGTCACCTCCTCAATTAGGACCTCCCTGACTCTGCTCTGTCCCCTCTAATGAACACAGCTTTATTTATTTAATGTATTTATACACAGTGTTTTTTTTTTTTTTTTTTGGAGACAGAGTCTCGCTCTGTCACCCAGGCTGGAGTGCAGTGGTGTGATCTCAGCTTACTGCAACCTCTGCCTCCTGGATTCAAGCAATTCTCCTGGCTCAGCCTCCTGAGTAGCTCAGATTACAGGTGTGCACCACCACGCTTGGCTGATTTTTGTATTTTTAGTAGACACAGGGTTTCACCATGTTGGTCAGGGTGGTTTCGAACTCCTGACCATGTGATCCACCTGCCTCTGCCTCCCAAAGTGCTGGAATTACAGGCGTGAGCCACCGCATCTGGCCTCATGCACAGTTTTTTTCATTAGTGTAAGTTCTAGGAAGACAGAAGTCCTGTTGTTCCTTTTCTGGGCACGTGGTAGGTGCTGAGTAGATATCTGCTAATCAGATGAATGAATGAGCAGGTGGAGTATAGCATGGCTTAGTGCTGAGGGAGCAACCTGTACACGTTGTTCCACTTGTAACCATCTGGATTTCCTGCCTGTCAGTGATTTTCTGACCTATTTCTCCTAACAATCTCTTGGCTCCATAGATTGTTCTACACCAGTGTGTTCTCTCCACACCAGCAACATTAACATTTCCTGGGAACTTGATAGAAGTGTTGTTTATTGGGCCCAAACTCAGACTTACTGAACAAGAGTCCCCCGTGGGGAGAGGCCAGTAATCTCTATTTCAACATGCTTCCAGGTGATTTTGCCTGCTGATATTTAAGAACCACTGCCCTAGTCCTTGCAGCTCTTAAAATACACCAGTGTGGCTTAGAGTAAAATATAACTAACTTGTCCTTTCCACTCAGGAGTGGCAGCATTGGTAGGTATTGGTAGTTGGAAGGAGTGGACCTGACTTGGGGAATGTGTTGAATAGATAAAAGTGATTCTTAGACTTGTTGGGATTATAGGGAAAATCTCTATAGGGACCATAGTGAGAACCAGAGAAACCTGTAGAGTTGGATTGAGTACAGTGGCTCCTATGAGAGAGGTAGCTAAAGTAATCATAATTACTGAAGTGCTGAGATGAAAAGGTGTCAAAAAGTGAAGAAGTATGCAGGATAGTGGTTCTCACTGGGGTTGGAGGGGAGCTTTTCAAGCAACATTGACTACTTCCTCTTCTCTGTCCACCCCCTGCCCCTATTCTGATATATCTTAAGATCTCTCAGGGGTCAGATAAGAGTGTGTGTAGTTTGAAAAACCTCCCAGGGTAATTTCATATGACATCAAAAAATCATTTGAAATACCAAAAAGAAATGGTTCTTAAACGTTTTCTTCCTTGGCGATTCTGCTCATATGTTTCTAACAGATATGCAGCCTTCAATTTTGAGTGAGTGTGTTTCTTGGAAACTGCTTTTATTGAACAGACTAAGAAAATTCAAATTCTGGAGGTAACACTAAATGTTCTTTTCGAAGTAAATTTTGAAGTGAATTTTGAACTGGAACAATTTTTTTCCAATTTAAAAATATAATCTCAGAGTCTTTTTTTTTTCTTGAGATGGAGTTTTACTCTTGTTGCCTAGGCTAGAGTGCAGTGGCATGATCTTGGCTCATTGCAACTTCCACCTTCCGGTTTCAAGTAATTCTCCTGTGTCAGCCTCCCGAGTAATTGGGATTACAGGCACCCGCTAGCAGGCTAGGCTAATTTTTGTATTTTTAGTAGAGATGGGGTTTCACCTTGTTGGCCAGGCTGGCCTCGAACTCCTGACCTTGTGATCTGCCTGCCTCAGTCTCCCTGAGTTCTGGAATTGCAGGCATGAGCCTCTGTGCCCGACCAGACTCTATTTTAATAAGTAAATGTTTAAAAATCACATCACTGAAGATCAGATTTGATTTGATTTCTTTTTTTTTGATTCAGAAAATACAAGTACTAGTGTGCTGGTAAGGCTCTGTGCATCTTCTCAGTTGCTCAGAAGCCTTCAACCGAGTTTGATATTTAGAAGTGAATTAGAGTATTTTCTGCATGAGCTTTTCAAAACGGAAAGTCTGTTAGGCTGTTGCACGGCATTCTGAAGAAGACCCATTCCATTTGTCCAGAAGTAGTCTGGGAAAATCTTTTATTAAGACATTTCCCCATCATAACTGGGTAGGGATTTTATATCAGTGGAAAGTCGGTTTTGCAGTGCCAGCTCCTCCAAGAATTGTTATAGTGCTAATGAGACTTATTGTTTTGCTGTGTTGAAGTCATTGCTGAGAGAATCCTAATTTGCTAGAAAAATTCTGATCTTTAGCGACATCACTTCAAATGATCTTTTTTAAAAAAAAATACTTGGATTAGGAAAATAATTAAACAATACTGTTTTGATTTCATAAACAGCAATTTTAGATTCATTTTTAAAACTTTCACAATTTTTATTTTTTAATTAAAGAATGCTTTTTATACACACACACATACACACACCCCTACCTCTCAAAATTTTAAAATTATAACCAGATTTTTAGAATGGAATTCATTTTTCTATTGTGTTACATGAACACAGATAAAAAAATAAAGTGAATTCATTTTTAATATTCCTTTTTTCAGATATTACTACTATTAATACTTTTCTACCAAAACTCATGCAATTTGGAGTTTAGATTTGAAGAACCCTAGTTTCGTATTTTCTAAACCATATCTAATTTACCCATCTGTAGCTTTTTTGAAAGAAAGAGGACACACTGAAAAGTTATTTGAAAAATGCCCAAAGCAGAGTTTAATTATTTGATTGCATGTCATTCTGATATGGATATCTCTAAATGAATAAAAATCCCTGGTATATGTTTGAAATGGAGTCAGTGATTATTAATTCTATAGGTGTTTGTAGAATTTTATAGGTGTTTCATATGATAGTTCCACAAGGAAAGGGACTTGTTTTTAGGGAGAAGTATATAGTTCGTGCTCTACAAATGCTCATTTTTTCAGTGTATATATTTACTTGTTTATTTCAGAAATGGCAGTAAATGTATACGTTATTAATTAAAAAATCTCCCATAAATGTTTATTTCAATACAAGTTAAAAAGTATCTAATATAGTCATTGGCATTGGAGTGCAACTTTAAATATTACTATAAAGTAATATGCATTTACTGGAAAAATTTGAATGGTATAAACGTGAAAGATCGAAGGTTCTTTGTGGCCCCATTCCTACCTCCCACCTCTCAGTCCTGCCCTCAAGAGGAAGCATCTGGAAAAAAGTCCTTCCTTGTCGTGAGTTATATTTACCTTTTCCTTTCTGGCTATAATAAAGTCATCTTGGCATTTTCATAAAGATTGGAGCTGGATGCAGTGGCTCACACCTGTAATCCCAGTACTTTGGGAGGCTGAGGTGGGCAGATCATCTGAGGTCAGGAGATTGAGACCATCCTGGCTAACACGGTGAAACCCCGTCTCTACTGAATGACATTTAAAGGAAATTTATTCTTGGAGAGAAAAAGGTTTTTAATTTTTTTCTAAGATGATTAAGAAAATGGAAATAGTTTTCAAAGTCTTGTATCTTTTTTATATCTCCCTCCCTCCTGTCCCTCCTTTTGACATCATTATTTGTTTGTTTTATATTTGATCTTTTTGTTATTAATCAAGGTTATAAATCTGTTTAAAATATAAATCAGGGAGAGAGAGCTTATATGATATTATAATGAGTGTTTTTATAAAACTATTCCTAGCTTAAGCTTATTTCTCTCTTTGGAGTCTCTCATGTACACACGGAATATCATCATGTCTTTCTTTTCCTTAAAACCTTTCAAGACCTTCCCTTTCCTTATGGCATAAATTTTTAAGTTCCTAGCTTTGTTGACCAACTCTGGCTCCAGCCTGCTTTTCTAGATAGATCATAAGGTTTTCTTCTTTCCTACTGTGTACTTCTTTTTCTGCACTTGATAAATGTTCTAATTGCATCAGACACCTTACATGTTTATGTCTCCATGTGAATACTTGTTCTGTTCTCTCAAGCTTGAATTTCTTTTTAACTCACTTGTTCACCTATTTCCCATCTACCCTTCAAAAACTGGCTCAGCGTCATCTTATTTATATACCTTTTATTGACTTTTTCTTCCTTTCCAAGCACAATTAATTGAGCCCACTTCTATTCCAATACTTAATACATTCTGTTAGCTGATTTTAAGTTTCATGTCTAATAGTCTGAGAGCAATTTAGGAACAGTCTGGGGTCTGATTACATCAGTTTAATTCCCTGCTTTGCTACTTACTAGCTATATGCCTCTCAGCAAGTTACTTAACTACTGTATGCTTTAGTTTTATCATCTATAAAATGAAGATAATAAACTACCTTTCTCATATTTGTTAGAAGAATTAAATAATCTTCAGATATTTACAGATAGTGTTCCTCACATTGTAAACAATAAATGCCAGATATTCACTTTTACCACTGTTTTTCAGCACTTAGTTCATTATCTGAAGGTATTTGATAATGTGTTTTATTAATTAAAGGGAAATTTTTCTATATAGGTTTATGGATTTATCAATTTAATGGTTATTGCTACAGTAGTCTCTAGTGTTTTAAAACAACTTTAGCTTTTATTGGCAGCCAGATTGTTTTATTTTTAAGTTTGTTGAAAATTTCCAACTTTCTTGTGCCAAAATATGTAATAAGAGAGCCAAGTAAGCACCTTCTACTCCTTGACACAGAAGCCTGTGTTACCTTTCAGGGGAATGATTGATGCACTTGGAGTTGCCTGACAGATCTGTTCTCTTGTCTTTGTAGGCCTTGTGTAGAATCACTCGCCATTCTCCTACTGCCTTCCAGAATGTTATTGAAAAGGTGGGACTGAACTCAGTAATAAACTCCCTGGCCTCTGCCATCTGCAAAGTTCAGCAGTACATGTTGACCTTATTCACTGCCATGTTGTCCTGTGGGATTCATCTTCAAAGACTAATCCAAGAAAAGGTTTGACTTAGGTTTTACCTGTTACTCTACATTAAAAATTGTTGTTTTCTTCTGCAATTTTAGTGGTTCTGCAAGTAATGTCGTGTTTGTAGAATTCATTTTTCATCCCAAGAGGCCTTTTTGAACTTTGCCAAACCTTTGTACCACAGAGTGTTCATCCGAACATGTTATAAGAGCCTTTTAGTGATTAAAATAGAAATTCTTTAAGTGGCTTCTGTCTGCTTGTCCCATTTTGGTAATGTTAAACTAGAAAATGTCTCAGTGCTTCCTATGTACTGGCATTTCTTATGCCTCACCAACTCCAGCTTCCATCTCTTTCTCCCATATCCTTTGCCTTTTTTAGGGGGAGGAGTCCCTTTATAGTTTTCTGCTTACGCTGTCCTATTTTTATTCCTTTCCTTGTAATACCCTGCCAGTCAAAATTATAGAGCCCCCATTCTGTTTTTAACCTATCCTCTTCTAGTCCTTTATATGCCTTTATTGTATATACAGTAGAGTTTGTAAGTATTAAATTCATATCACCGAACTGTATAGTGATAAACAGGTCTCTCTAGTAGCCTTTCTCGAAGTGTCTTCTCTAGCTCATTGCTAAAGGGTGATCCCTGGACCAGCAGCGTTGACATCACCTAGAAGCATGTTGGAAATGTAGACTCTTAGGCCCCATGCAGACCTGCTGAATCAGAATCTACATTTTAGTGAGATCTCTAGGTGATTTGTTTGAACTTTATGGTTTGAGAAGTTCTGCCTGAGAATATTAGTGTTTGATGATGTGTTAGGTAAAAAATAAAGTAGGTCTGGCTATATATAAATTTGGAAAGCAATGAGTGTAACTTAGAAATATTTTCAGTTGTACAATTTTTCCCAGTTTTTAATATGCTAATGTGTATTGTGATTGTGAATTCTCATGAGGAGAATGTAGTGTGCAGCGTTATTTCAACCAGTCATTCTTTTTTCTTTTTTTTTTTTTTTTGAGGTGAAGTCTCGCTCTGTTGCCCAGGCTGGAGTGCAGTGTGGCGCAATCTCGGCTCACTGCAAGCTCCACCTCCTGGGTTCACGCCATTCTTCTGCCTCAGCCTCCCAAGTAGCTGGGACCACAGGCGCTCGCCACCAAGCCTGGCTAATTTTTTGTTTTTGTATATTTAATAGAGATGGGGTTTCACCGTGTTAGCCAGGATGGTCTTGATCTCCTGACCTTGTGATCAGCCTGCCTTGGCCTCCCAAAGTGCTGAGATTACAGGTCTTTTTTTCTATAAGAGGTAGAGAGGTGTACCTTTCAATTCAGAGTTTTGCAAAACGTGTGAAGGTAACACTACTTAGAAGTGTGGAATGGAACCACTTAGATACACTGTTTACCATGGTTCTTCTGCTTTAAATGAAACACATTTTGGTTTTTATGATAAAACTTAAAATTTCAGTAACTATTATGAGTAACCCTCAGATTTACATAGTAAACTTGATCTGTGGAAGTCCAAATAGAGGTAAACCACTTCTTGTCTTTAATTATTCTGATTTAGATTCTGCTAAGAAATTTGTGCCTCAGAGAAAGTATTTTTTTCTAACAAATCTATGTGTCTCGTTTTTGCTATTAAATTTTCACTCATTAAATGTTCTTATCATTATATCGGAAAAAGTAATACTTGAATAATTTTACCATGTAATCCATGGTTAGAAAGGCTGAGAGTTTTAGAAGAATTTGTGTGTGTGGGTAGGTGGGTGTGTGTGTGTGTGTGTGTGGGTGTTTTACCCTCAGCACAGGCATGGATTGATTGAGTTTCAAATATAGTATTTCACAAAAGCAGTAAAATAGGTTGTATATTAATATAATTTTAATTATTAATCATATATAACACTATTCCACATGTCTTAAGGAAATGAGCAATTGCATGGAATGATAAGCGGTCTTTTACTTTTGATTACTATTGGTACATTAAAAAAAGTTTTTATTGTGGTAGATAACACATAACAGAATTTATCATTTTAACCATTTTTAAGTGTACAGTTCAGTATTATTAAATATATTCACATTGTTGTGAAACAGAGCTCCAGAACCTTTTTATCCTGCAAAACTGAAACTCTATACACAAGAAATATTTTGGGTGGTGGTGGATTTTATTTGAATCTTCTATTTTAGAGTACCTCTGACACTGAATTGGCAGGGGGAAGAAGGGTGCTACATTGATGTTGCTGGGTTGGGATGGAAGCACAGATCCCCAGTGGACTGCTTTTGTCACCTCAGGAGGTAGAAGAGCTCCTCATTACTGCTGGGTGAGAGTGCGAGGCCAGGCTTTCCACCAGGACTCCTCTGATGCTACCCTGGCTGCTGAGGGGGAAGGATCCTCATTATTGCCTCCACTGATACTGGTGGAGTGGAACGGATGCCTCATCACTGGGGAAACATTGTGCAGCATGATGGAAGACTCTCTATCGTTTGGTTGGGATGAAAGCCCCAGCTCCTTGCTTGGTCTTTTGTGACACCACTCTGGCAGGGGATAATGTTGGGGCACCTTGCCATGGTCACATGAGGTTGGAAGTCTAGGCTCCCTACTTGCTCTTTGCTGGTGTGGTTTCTCCATGGTGCTTGGCTGAAGTAGAGTAGCTATTTTCTAAAAATTTTAGAAAATTTTTCTGTCTTGCCAGGCTGCCCCTCTCTTGGTCCTTTGGTTTGAGAGAGCTGTTTTTTCTTGTGTGTTTGTGTATGTATACCTGTTGGTGTTTCTAGGCTCTTGGATTTTTCAACACCCAATCTGGGATATAAGAAGCAAAAAGATAACTCAATGAATGCATTGCTGTATTGATCCTCAGGTTTCAAGGTCTCTAGGTGGTCTTCTGCCTTCTTTCCATGTATCTGTCATATTTGTTTTCTATATACTGTCCAGGGTTTTTGGCTGTACTTAGTGGTAGGAATAGGGAGAAGTGCATCTTCTCTCTCATCTTGTAGTTTTTTAAATGTATCTGTGACACCCTCAAAAATGTACAATGAATTTTTATTTAGAATGCAAGGTTCTATTTTAATAAAAATATTAACAAAATTAAAAAAAATTACAGTATATTGAACATTTGCTTTTTTTTGTTTTTTTTTTTCTTGAGATAGGGTCTCACTCTGGTTGTCCAGACTGGAGTCCAGTGGTGTGATCTTGGCTCATTGTAGCCTTGGCCTTCTGGACTCAGGTGACCACCTCAGCCTCCCCAGTGGCTGGGATTACAGGCGTACACTGCCACATCTGGCTCATTTTTGTATTTTTTTTATACACATGGGGTCTTACTATGTTGCCTAGGCTGGTCTTGAACTCCTGGATTCAAGCGATCCCCCGTTTCAGCCTCCCAAGGTGCTGGGATTACAGGTGTGAGCCACCATGCCTAGCCCTGAACATTTACTTTGGGCCAAATGATTTTCAACTCTGGGTCTTTCACAGATGAGACAGTGTGTTGAGTAATTTTGTCAAGTTCTTGGAATGTATAAGTGCTAGATATAAGTGCTTATGCCCTAACAGGAGGGGCTGATAATAAACAAGAAAACACAGTAATTTGGGATGGTTTTAGTGCGCTGAAGAACATAGAACAGGATATGTGATAGAGTGACTGTTAGGGGCAGTGTCCAGGTAGAGTGGAGCCAGACATTATTAGCCTAGGTTGGGACGGAGAATAGTCAGGGGAGACCTCTCTGAGAAGGTGCATTCTGGCCTTGGATGATAAGAAAGAGCTAGGAATGTGAAGATCTAGGGGCAGAACTTTGTGGTTCAGCCTTCATGAAGTGTGAGAGATCTTAGGGAGATGTGGGAAGAGAAAGAAGGTCAGCAAGGTTGGAGCACAGCCAGCAGGGAGGAAGGGACACGGAAGAATCTGGGCAGCTGGAAGAAGACCCAGCTCAGGTAGGGTCATGATATTGGCCTTCCTAAGGGGTTTTAGCGCAATGATCATTGTCTTCGTGTTACTTAAAGAAAAGTGAGTGTCTTTGTCTATACATGTCTGTACATGTATGTTTGAGGTGCAGATTTACCAGCCTTATTATTGATAGGTTAGAATGAGTGGAAGAGGGAGAGACCCAGGAGCAAATACAAAGTTGCTTCCTGTTGAACAGGGAGAAGGAATTCTATGTGTTGTTTTTTAGCGGGATTGATGCTCATATATTATGGTCTTTTACGATGGAAACCCAGCCTCCAAAAGAGTTCATTCCCTTCCTTTTAAATAAAAGAAATTACTGTTTGCTACAGAAAACTTAGAAGACTCTAAAGAAGAAAACAAAATCAGCTGGAATCTCACTACCCAGATATAATTATTGTTAACATGTTGGTTTATCTCTTTTTAGTTTTCTGTCTGTGTCTATGCATTTTATGCACACATTTACCAAGTTAAAATAAAATTGTATTGATTTTTCTTGCTATTTTCATGGGTGTTTTACTGTGTCATTAAATATTCCTCAGGGACATTAAAAAAACTTGTTATATGATTTATTTTGTGATGCACCAATAATTTAACTCTTCCTCCACTATTGAACTGTTTGGCTCCTGTTTTTTGGTTGCTACTCATCATGATACGATGAACACCCTGTTATCTACATCTTTGTGTTCACCTCTAATAGATTACCTCAAGTGTTACATACATTTGTAAGGCGCTGCATTAATGTTGCTAGATTGTTCTCTGGAAAAGTTGATTATGTGGGTACCATTTACTTGTAATTTAGCCAGTAATCGTTTAAGCCACATGCTGTATTTTCTTATAATAAAACCTAGAGTTTAACGTTATTTAATTATCAGTATACTTCATGTTTTCATAGTTATTTGTAGTTCATAATTAATCTCTGATTCTCCATTTGAAATTTGTAACTGTAGCCAGGTTTTCATCTTAAACTAACTAGGTGGTAGAGTCTATTCTCTTCTGAATCATACACATTTTCTTGAGTGGATATTTATGTATTGAAGGAACTTGTTCAGTTCACACTGTCATCTGCGTTAGCTACTTGGGTGTCAGTGTCCTTAGATGGTTATTATTTAGCAGCTATT